TATTGTCAGACAAAACAGAGTTTCGTTTTTTTAGGCAAAAGTTTGTCGAAATTGAAGACAACTTTATTATTCTCTTTGTCTTTGTTTGCTCTGAATCTCGAGTTTCCGATCTTATAAATGATGACAAACAGAGTCAACACAACCACTGTTGACACCAATCCTATCAACACTGCCTTTGGACGACACGTCCGGCTCAGGGCTGACATCCAGATCAGGCTTATTGTCGTAAATAAAATAAAACTTCAATTAATATAATCATAACTGAATTAGTTTCAAGTTATATATTATGTATATGACATATATATTATAAGTTGTATATGACTTATAAATCTAATCAAATCCTTTAATTAGTCTGAGTTTGAAGTTAGAGTTGTGTCTCTCAGAGTATTTGCGGTCCCGACACCCGATGCATGGCTTTTGTATCACTAAAACTATGTATTATTAAAATATTATTAATATTGCATTATTATTGGCCCATATATTCTAATAGACAAAACTTATTATTATATTTTGCATTTATATGAGGTTTCCATGGATTTAATTATTGGACATATTTTAAAACGTGACATCAATTCAATGCAATTCTAAGATATTAATTATAATATATGACACAATAGGAGAGACGAACTACTTCTGGATCCCAAATGCTATAAAAGACGGTATGAATGTTGTCGCCCAAGAGGTGCAACCTATCTGTGAAGTGACGGGTAGTGTCGTGAATGGCTCACTCATTAAGGAAGAATGGACACGAATATATGATTACAAGAAACTATTGAACGACGATAGGGAACAACTCATCAAAGATAAGGACCAATTGGCCAAAGAGAAGGACCAATTGGCCAAAGAATGGGACCAAAAGACAGAATGGTTTGCCAAAGAGATGAACCGCTTGAATAGAGAGGATCTTTTCGTCAAAGAGAAAGAGTGGTTCACTAAAGACAAACTCATGTTAGAGAAGGAGAAGGAGTGGTTGACTAAAGACAAACTCATGTTAGAGAAGGAGAAGGAGTGGTTGACTAAAGACAAACTCATGTTAGAGAAGGAGAAGGAGTGGTTCACTAAAGACAAACTCATGTTAGAGAAGGAGAAGGAGTGGTTGACTAAAGACAAACTCATGTTAGAGAAAGAGAAGGAGTGGTTCGAGAAGGAAAAGTTGCGAAATAAAAACCAACTTCTTCTCGATCGCCAACTCTCGGAACAACTGCTCAATACATGTCTTAATGATAAACACAAACTCGAGTCAGAATTGAAAAAAATCTAAACCTCTTTCACTTTTCAACTTAAAATTGCTTCATTTGGTTTTAATTTAGTTTTATTTTCATTATTTGTCACTTTTATTATTCGTTTTATAAAATCATTTCTTCATTAAAACCATCATTAATTCATACGTTTTTACATTTCTGTTATTTATAAAATACACAATAAATACATTTTTATAATTCATTACATGTTATTTAAGAAGAGAGCCATTGATTGGCAATTATACTAATGAAGAGCCGATTATAATCGTGTGATTAATTCCGAGACTCACTTTGCGTACAAACGCCGGAACGCAGACCTATATTATGACCGTTAAAGTGAACACAATTAGCAAAACAATGGCAACACTTGTGGTCACGGTTTGAGACATACCCTAAAAGGGAAGTATTGGTCGGCGCGATGGCCGAGACCTAAACATCCGTCCGTATTCTTACCCCACATATAAAGGTCGCCCTTATCTGCAAATTAGTCATTAAATAATACTTAAAGCAAGTATTAAGTGAAGAGTTGTTGAATATAGTGATCACTAACTGGTAATCGCCGCCAAATGATTGAAAGATCCCTCGACTCGAACCACTTTCACATCGGGGTTGAACTCATTGGCGCCAAACAATGGCATCGGTAAGAGTGTGGGTGTCTTCAGGTGATCCACTTTGGGTCCCATCCCTAGTATACCGTAACCCCAGACGTAGACATTCCCTAAATCTGTGCCATAAATAAGTGATAATTAATGGATTGAACGGCAGAATTGAATGGCAGACAACACACCGTTAACTATAGCGCAAAGGGAACCGCCGGCGCATACGTTCACCACTTTTCCCTTTATGTGACTGAATGTGACATTTCTCGGGATATTTAACTGTTTCTCATCCGTAATGGACTCGAACTGCGAGTATTCAGAGTTTCCCCAACAAAACACGTCTCCCTTATCTGTACTCGTGTTTCACAAATTGAATTAAATGTTTGTTTTAATTAAACATAATCTGCAAACAAATTAGAGACCGTTCAGTGCGAGTACAGAGTCGGCAGCGCTGGACAGTTGTACGATCTTTTCGCCCTCAATATCGCCCTTCAGTTTGACGGGTAATCCCTGATTGCGATAGTGTCCTAACCCTGTCTGGCCGTCGGCACCCCATCCGCACGAATAGACACTTCCGTTTTGGGTGAGGAATAGGCTGTGATCCTGACCACAGACCACCTGCGCTCACATATAAACACAAATTGTAAACACATATCATATCCAGTAAACAAGCGATCATTTCATTGCATACGTCCACCACTTTGTCGTCAATCTCTTTGATTTGATGGATCCGATGAGACGGGAAGTATATCTCATTGTCGACCACCGGTCGGCCGCACTGTCCGAACGCGTTGTTACCCAAACTGTAGACTACAAGACAGACAACACATCATTAACTAACTAATTGGTGAATGTGTTGGCACTTGTATTCACTCACTTTCGGCAGCACTGGTGAGGCATATGGTGTGCGATCGGCCGCACGAAACCCGAACCACTCTATCCTTTGAGCCGATGGGCAGTCGAATGGCCACCGGTTTGAGAAGACAGGCCAGAGGTTTGTCCGGAGGGCGCGGGTCTGACTGCAAACCAATCTGACAGTCGGTGTTAATACCGGTGCCGAAGAGTCGATGAGGCGAATCGGGACACACGGCTGCGATCACCTGACGGATCAATACAAAGACAAACGCATCAATCAAATAGCGATCATTGGATTCATTAAGCGGTCAAACAATACCGTGAATCCGAAGCCGGCGGACACGTCCGTCACTTTGGTCTTGTAGTCAATAAAGTCGGACTTCATTGGCGCCGATCGGCACTCAATGGGCGGCAAAACGGATCCAAACTTGTATTGTCGTCGGCGGACGAGTCCGAGTCGGCCCAACGCCCCGCCGCCCGCATAGCCCCACACATACACCGACCGGCGCTGACTGTAGGCCAGTCTGTCGCCCGAAGTGAACTGAAACACTGGCATCGCTTCCACTTCTTGAGGGTCCTGTCCTCGAAGTATAGCCCGAGACAGAGCGCGACTGATGGCATAGTTGTGGACACATTTGGTCACCGATTGGCCGCCGATTGACACCCGATAGGCATTAGTTGTGAGCATTTGATTGGCTCTCAAATCAATGCATTGGTTGTCGAATACAATGCGCTAAACATGTGATCGAATGTACAGTAAATGTAAACATTGTTTGACATAAAAAGGGACCAAATGTTCGCTTATAATCCATATGTAATGCTGTGCACATCTAGTGAGCGATCATTTGTGCCCAAATCATATGAAATATGGTGTTTGGTATGCATTATACGTGTGTTTTTAGTGACAATAGATGTCATATTTGGTGATCATTTTATGCATCAATTCTGTACAGAATATTCTGATTCTGTAATTAAAAGCTTAGAAATTACTTTTGTTTTTATGTTTTATTATAAATTTGTTAAAAAATAAAAATATATTTAAAATGTTAATTAATATAAAAATATTTTTAGACAATTAGTGTCAATGTTATTAAATTCATTAATTATGCACAAAAATAATATAAAATATATTATAGACACACACATTGATATAATGTGCACATAATATACTGCATCCATCATATATTGTATGGTCTATTAACACAACCCTAATCTAAATTCAACATGTTTTTTAAATTAAAGTGGTTAATTGAGAGCAAATATTATGTTCACATTTTTACAATTTTATAACAAAATCACAGACATTATCACAAATTGTGTTCATTTGATTCGAGTCTTTGAGTGTTTTAACATCTTTTTAAAACATTATCTAAAAGTTGGGAAAAAGTTGTAACTAAAGCGATGGTAAGAATGGTATGGAGTTTGGCGGTGGCTGTCCTGGTATTGACATATGCGGCGGTGGGAAGCGATGCCGACGGCAACTGTGGCTGTAGTCGGACTCTAACGGGCGACGTGTCATCCGAACTGCAGAGCGCTTTTTGCAGCCAAAACCAAGACTTTGTGCTGAAAGTGCACATCAAGTCTGGCCTCACGAAGATTGACAACAACTACGGCTACTATCGGATCAAAATTAAACAGATCTTCAAATTCAATAACGTGTGCGAAAAGGCGTTCGAGTCGTTACGGCTGTACACCAGTTGTGAATGCGATCCAAAGTTTATCAAACATTTGGATTACATAATCAGTGGTCAAGTGAAGAACGGATCGCTCGGATGGTGTGATTCCTGTAATTACCAGAAGTTGTGGTTTTATTTGACAATCAAAGAGAAGGCATTCCTCTATACCTCTAATACTAATTCCTGTCACAGTTTTGTGAAGGGTTTTGAGAGTAACAACAGTACAACCAATGCTTTAATTGATGTCTAAGATTTAATTTAAACATATTTTATGTTAACATTATTTGTTTGTTTAGTAAATCTATTAAATGAATACAATGTTTTTGCAACAAAAACTTTTTGCATTAATTTCTGGACTTTTAATCTATTTATTTGTGTTGAAAACTTTTGCCCAGAATATAAATAAACAAAAATTATAAGATATTGGGGATTATATTATAAAATAAAAGACAATACAGGAATTAGGATTAGGGCTTTGAATTAAATCCTAATTGTAATAAAATGGGTATTTGTGAACATTTTGTTTCAATTATTAATTTGTTTTTACTTAAAATAACATCATTTATATATTGATTAAAATGTTGAGCAAAATTATAATTTGGTTGTTAATTATAATTTAAATAATTGTCAGCGAAAACTTAATTATAGGTTTGTATAGAAATTCATTTGTTTTATTTGTCATATATTTTAATATTATTGAAATATTACTGAAACAGATAATACACTGAATTTAATTGAAAGCAATCAAATGTTTGACAAAAATAAGTCAAATATTGGATTCAAATCACCGGAAAAAGTGTCTAATGAGATGAATAACATCTCAATAACTGCTCCCGAAATCAACAAAATACAAGGTATTTCTATCACATGTTTGTAGTTTAATATACTTATTATCAGATCATAGATATAGTTAAAACTTTTAACTTAAAAGTATTAAATATGAAGTGATATAAAATGATAAAATATATACATCAATTCGCAAAATAGATTTTACTTAATTTTCATAAAATAACTGAGATATGAACAAAACGTTTGTGTTTGAGGTAAAAACAATGATTGTTTAAAAAATACTTTGATAGAATCGACAAATAATATGGATATAATTGAACATATTTGGGATATTATGGCAAAAGGGGTACAAAACTTGTGTGGCATTTGGACTAACGGTTACCTAAAGAATGATTCCGAAGAAACATATATTAAATTAAGGCAGTATTTGCTGGAAGAGATCCAAAGGCAACAAAACAAGATCACAGATTTAGAAAAACAATTGAATGATTGTAAAAACAAAATATGAACAAATGATTTGTCTACTATTTATCATGTCTTAAATCTTATCATTTCTTTTTGATTAATATTTTAATTCATTTATACGTTTGTCGATTACATACATATATAAATTAAAACTAATTCTTTTGCATAAAGTTTATGTTTTTTAAACTTATTTCAATATTTAATTAATTGACTTTTACAAAATCATTTAACTAAACAGTTGTAAATAAATTTTAAAATTAATATTTAATGCTTTAGATGAAGATAATTCAAAAGCATTGGCTATCGGACATACTTTGGCTGATAATTACGTGACCGTTGAATACGGATTGAATTCTATGGGAAAATGGATACAAAAATTATGTAGATTTTGGACTAACGGTTTTGAGTCGAGTGAAAACATCTATAAAAAGTTAAAACAAGAGTTATTAGAGAAGATAAAAATGCTTGAGAAAGATAACAATGAGTTATACTTACAATTGTCTGATTGTCGGCTCAACAAAGTGTCAACACATCAAAGGATTTAAACATTTATAATTGCAATTATATTTTATTCACTTTTTAATTCATAAGTTTACAGATTTATTAATTCATCGAATATATGAATTAAAAACAATTATTTTCATTGTGTTTATGTTTTTAAACTTAATTTCAATACTTAATTAAAATAGCATTTGTTTAATTGTGGATCCAATTGACAACCCATTGGTCGCCACTCTTTTTGCTGTTTAGATTAAGTTGAATGCGAATTCTTGTGGAGCCGTCGTCTCTATCGATGAGAGCACTGACGGGTTGGCCATCGAGTGTTGCCAAAACTTCAGTCCCTTTTGTGCCGTAAACTCGTATTTCCTCTACTTTTGGTGCATTCGTATAGTTATTGTGTTTGGCTTTCAATACGAGTGAAGAGTTGGACAACAATTTAAACGAATAGTAATTATAGTTTCCGTTTTCAATCGTATCGATAGACTCTCCGTCGTCCCAATACAGGTCTCCCAAACCCTCGGACTTGACGTCCGGTAATACAACCAAATTAATGGCCGATTGTCTGACAGTATTTGTGTTGATGTGAACCGAAGAGACACTCATCGGTATAATAGATCCGCCTTTGAGATGGACGGGCGGCGGATCCGTTGGACTCTTTTCTTTGATCACTATATGTCCCGTTTGTTTCACTTTTACTATTTGTGGTAACAATTCATACCAAATATCATTTGGAAGATATGCTGAAACTTCTGTTTGATTCTGAAAGTAACAAAAATTTAAAGTTAAAAAGTTTTAAAATTAAAATATTGAACAAATACTTCGTGAAGAAATGGAGAGATGAGTAGATCTCTTCCCCACATAAACTGCTCCTGTATTTCATAAGTGTTAGTATCGGTCGGGAACTCATGAACTAGAGGTCGGGCCACTGTTTGTCCCATTGTATGACTTCTATAAAACAGAGTATATAAATACGGCAATAGAGTGTACCGTAGATTCAGGGCATTAATGGCAGCGTTGGTCACTTCCGGGTGACCTCTCTCTATCCAAACAGCCGGGTCCTGATCTGATGGATTGATTTCGTTATGACTTCGACTAAACGTATAAAACGCTCCCAATTGTAACCATCGGCGACACAACTCGGGTGTTGTCTCGTTGAAGAAACCACAGATATCTGCGCCCACCTATTCATTGAGTTGTATTCATTACTATAATGCTATTTGGATTGTTCGGGATTTTGTTTAATTGAAAATAATTACAAAATTAATGCCAAATAAGTTAAACTCCAAAACACCGATAATTGAGTCCCGCATTTGAGACCATTCGGCGATATTGTCGCCCAACCAGTGGGCCGTATATCTGCCCGAAGACACGTACGTCGACCGCGAGAGTACGTAACCTCTCTTTCCCGTTATTTCGCGAACAGTTCTGTCGGTAAATAATAATAACAATCATAAGCTATATATGAGAACATGAATGGTATAATTGTTGTCATACTTTTGTGTTGCAATACTTTCGGTGAGACCATAGAGGGAGTGGACATCGGAGTGATTGTATTCGCCGTTCTCTCCCTGAATACTACACATACATATCGTGCCATCAGATAGTTTGGTGTAGTTTTGTGACGAACCGTATATTGACTCTGAATTATAAATTTGATCATAAAGTTTAGTTTAGGGTAATTGAGGCGCAATTGATGATAGTTATGGTTGTATTTTATAATGAACCACGATAAACATATACTAACGTATTCTAGCTTTCGGGTTATCCAACAGATTGTATGGACAATAATCATGAGATTTTTCATCAAACCCAAAATCGTACGGTTCGTTCATATCCTAAATTTATAATTATTTTGTAATAAATATATTTCAATTAAAAATTATATTTAATTTAATGTAATGTAACTTACGATCCAAAGGGAGTCAAACTCCAGATTCAGATCTTTACGCATGTATTGAATCCATTTTGACCACCATTTATGAGTTGCTGATTTGAAAAAGTCTGGAAAAGCAGCAGGGCCATGTGGCCATACTTTACCATATAGAATATCTGTGTCTGTTTTTACATCGGCTGGATTTCTGCGATCTTTTTCCTTCACATATTTCGGCCATTTTATGAATATATCGTTTTGATAGCCGTCTTGAAAAGCATTATATGCGCTGTCATTGCCCTGAATGGCCGGATCCAGGATTAGAGTGGTGTGAATGTTGTGATCATTTTTCAGCGATGATATCAATTGTGGCAAATCTTTGAAATCCGTCTCATTGTATGAAAAGTCTTGATATTTAGACATGTAATCGATGTCTGCGTACATCACGTCCTATGCATTCAATTAGAGATTTTGATTAATTCGTGTTTAGATCTAATGATAACAATGTATTGCAAACCAATGGCACTTTTGCCTTAATATTTCGGTTAAAAACATCTCTAATTCGTGACGTGTTTTCAAATCCATAGCGAGTTAACTGAAAGCCGAGTGACCAGAAAGGGGGTAGAAATGGTCGTCCAATGAGTGAAGTGTATAATTGAATCACTTCTTCGGGATTCTCGCCGACAAACACGAAGAAGTCTAAGACTCCGCCCAATGTTTTGAGTGAAAGCGCCGGCTCTGGCATTAGTGTGTACTCTATGTTCACGTTATTGGGAATTATATCAATAATTAAGAGTTAACCAAAAATGTCATTCATTACAAACCCATAGCATTACTGTTGAGAAACAGAATTCCGTGAGATTTGCCGTCACTTTCCAGACCCGTATAGAAGGGATGAACGCCATAGAGATTAATGATTCCCTAATTATAAACGAAAATATAGAAGCGAAATGACGTTAAAAATATCACAGTAAATGAATGCAATAGAAAACTAGTGAATATAATAAAAGTATTTTTAAATAGTAAAAACTTGTACATCATTTGGTGGTATTCCTCGAGCGAATAGATTCCAAGTCTTGTAATTGATATTATGTTTGAGTGAATGGTGTGTATTCTCGCCGAAGCCATAGATGTGTTTTGTGGGCAAATATGTGGAGATTTGCAACAATTGGTCACTGAATATAAGGCCACCGATAGATGTGTCAAAGCTACGATAAAAAGTATGAAATTTATATACTGTATAATTAATAAGTAAGTCTTAAGTATTTGTTATCATTGATTACATACAGACTTGCATTAGAGCTCTTTCTAATAACCGAGAAATTAATACCATTTTGACTATTATTTAATTTAATCGTATATTTAGATAAATTTGGATCAAAAACTGGCGGATCCTTTAATAATGGGAATGTGTTTTGAATGGGAACTTCATATCTGTTTATTTTCGGGTCAAATATTTTGAACCTTAATATATTTTCTGATATATAATCCACTTTAAGCCGTAAACTCTCGATTTGTTTTAATGATGTCAATAGTTTTTTGGCCGTGTCTTTCAGTTTGAGATCCACTTCAAGACTTCTATCAGTTTTGATGACATTTCCATTCAAATTATAGCCAATTTTCTCTGTATTCAAATAGCATTGAGGGCTCGGATCTGACGGCTTATGATTTAAATCCCAAATACAATCCCTTTTTTCACATTCACTTTTGCTGAACACAAAGTCATCTATTATTTAATAATTTGTTCAAAAAATGTCATTATAATTAGATTATTGGTTTCCATATTATATTTTATAAAACTATAACTAATATAATTAAAAAATATATACAATAATGCATAACTAATGTTGTCATAACTTACTTTCGAGATAACAATCCAATCGTTTATTTAAATCATTGCTCTCTATTGACGAAATTGCAATAAATGCTAAAAATACTATTTTAATTGTATTTAACATTATTTATAATAAAATTCTTTTTTAAATTATTCAAATAAATAGAATAAAACGAATATTAATATTAGATTTATATTAAACAATAGTCCGTAAAGTATATCAGTGTAATAAGTTAATAACTTATACTATTACCGTATTACCCCGCTTATAAGTGCATGCACTTATATGTGAGTTTTCACACAAGGGGTGCACCTATATCCGGATATAGGTGCGGTATTTTTTGGAACATTTTTGACTTTCAATTGAAATTTATATATACCTTGAAATAATAGTCGTATGACTTGTTATAAAACTTTAAATGTTTAAAATGTATATACATTTTCTTATCTATTGGTGATTTTCATGAATAATGAGTACATTACTGTGAAATATCTCAATAATGAATATGAATCAATTCAAATAATTAGTGAATCAATTGATAAATTGAATATAAATATAGAAATCAGTGATCAAAGTGTTACAAAACAAAGAAAAAAATCAAAATGAAGATTTACTTTAAATTATAACATAATGTATCATCTACTCATTAATTTATTTAATTTTTATAAATAATTCTGACAAATAAATATTGACGCACTTATATGTGATTTTTACACAAGGGGT